GGGTGTCACCCCCTCCCCAAATTAACTCTGAGTCCAGGACCCCCCCAAGACTCCTCTGGGCGTCCCCTCCCCCTCCCCAAATTGAGTCTGGGGTCTCCCCCATCCCCCTGCACCCCCTTAGAGCCTCCTCAGCGCCCTTTTCTTATCCCCCTTTTTCTTGGGGGGCGCCTTCCTGTCCCCCGCGTGTTTTTTGGGGACGGGGCCGTCGGGGGGGTTGTGGGCGAGGCCGGAGGGGCCCGGGGGGGTTTCGTTTTTTGGGTGGGGGTCGCTCCTGGGGGTCCCGCGGGCGTGGATGTCGGTGAGGAGCCGCGCGCGGGCGGCGAAGCGCTCGAAGTCCTCGAGGAGGAGCCGCGCGGCCTCTTCGTTCAGAGCCGACTCCGGGTTGGGCTGGATCAGCAGGCACTTGATGGTCTGAGAAAAGGGGAGGGGGGCGATTGGGATGGGTCTGGGGTCCCAAAAAATCCATCCCTAAAAAAATCCAGACCCGGGTCCCGCTCGTTTGGTGGAGAATCGCGCTGATCCCGCCCCAAAAATGATCCAAAAATGCCCCAAAATCGATCCAAAAATGCCCCAAAATCGATCCAAAAATGCCCCAAAATCGATCCAAAACTGCCCCAAAACTGCCCCAAAATGAATCCAAAACTGCCCCAAAAATGATCCAAAAACATCCTAAAATGGATCCAAAAATGATCCAAAAATGTCCTAAAATTGATCTAAAACTGCCCCAAAACTGATCCAAAACAGCCCCAAAAATGATCCAAAACTGCCCCAAAATGAATCCAAAATTGTGCCAAAATTGATCCAAAATTGCCCCAAAACTGATCCGAAAAGGTCCTAAAATCGATCTAAAACTGCCCCAAAATTGATCCAAAACTGCCCCAAAATGAATCCAAAACTGCCCCAAAAATGATCAAAAAAGGTCCTAAAATTGCCCCAAAATTGATCCAAAACTGATCAAAAAAGGTCCTAAAATTGATCCAAAATTGATCCAAAGTTGACCCAGAATCACCTCAAAACGCCCTAGAATTGATCCAAAATGTCCTAAAATTGACCCAAAACTGATCCAAAATTGTCCTAAAATGGATCCAAAACTGATCCAAAACTGCCCCAGAA